TTACCTTGATCAGAGCTTTTTCAGCTGCTGTGTCTTGCCCGATACCCAGAGTAACGACTATGCTTGGCTTCTGCTGAAAACAGCGAATTTGAGCTTTTCAGAGTAATAGGTACCGCCTCGTGGTAGCCTGACAGCCCTTCTCTACACTAATGGGGGAGTTGTCTTAGGTACAAAGTAGTTTCTGTCAAAAAGCCCTTTCTCCCAGAGGGAAGTAACCATAGAAAGTATGTAATATCTCATTGGTTCGAGAATGCTTTCTGAACTAGTTCTGTAGAACATTTGCTAAAAACACTTGCGTGATGACTATCTTTGGCGATAACTACCTTCCCAGTTTTACCGAAGCAGTCGTGGTTCTCTGTAAGCTGCTTCTAAAAGCCGTGCCAAATTTGTATCGGATCACGACCTTAATTTCTATGGAAATGGAGGGCAAAATAGCTATATTGCTAAATCCGTTTGGAGGCTTCTTTGCAGAATCTAATGTTTAAATATGTGTCTGAACCCTTTACGATAGAGCTGTGTTATCAAAGAAAATCTTTTAGATGATCAGAAACATTCTGAGAAACCAATACTTGTAATGTACCTGCAAAGAAGGTATATGCCGCTTGATCTCGTCACCATTGTGAAAGTCCTTGATTTTCAAATCGGCCATGAAAGGTAATTTCTCACAAAGTTGAACGGCTTTCCAGAAATTTCCCCAGAGCTTAAAAAAGTTTCTCATATTTGCAATGGAAGGATCCAGATTCCTGATTCAACTTAGTAGATTTCATTCGTGGTAACCTGAGTCATTTTCACTTCGTGTAAAAATTGTTCTACCGGACACTGATCGCTGAAGTTTTTATCCTCTTATTCCTTTACATTCTTTTCAAAAATTTTCCCAGCGACAAATTTCAAATTATTATTGCTACAAGAGATTATTCTACATCCTCTGTAGTTATGAGGGTCACAACCTTTGAAGTATTTCAGAACGAACCTGTTTTGCATCCTTTTCAATAGACGAAATATTCTTCTCGATACACTGTTTCCATTGGTAAAACTGACTTTTCACTCGCGGATCGGGCTCTTTTTGTAGAATCTGGTGAAAAGAACTTGTTAAGACGACAGAAAGACCGTTTGACGAGGTCCTTGTGGACTGAATAGCCAACGTTATTCGCGAAAATTTGCATTTTACCACTTTATATTTCACAAATTTTTCCTTACGCTGCAACTCCGATTTTCGTTTATGTGGGCTTTTCCTAAAAATCGCTTTTAAGTTCCATTCAACAATGGAACTATAGAAATAAACACTATAGACAAAAACTAGATAACATTTCCAAGGGTAAATAATACTTTGTTGAGAAAAACTGACCTTATACAAACAAACACCCTACTATTTTCATAAAAATGGAACAATTCGCTTATTTGCAAAAGCAATCCGTCGAGCCGGATTCGAACCAGCGACCTAAGGATAGCTGCGACTCTACAGTCCTCCGCTCTACCAACTGAGCTATCGACGGCATGTCAGCGGCGGCCTCGAACTGATACACCACCAAATTGCTGGCCACCCGCACTTTTCGCGTTGGAAGAGAAATGCAAGGTGAATAGAGAAAACTAAAAAAAAAGGGTGGAAACACTTCATTCAGACCTGATCTATTTGAAGATCAACCTATGACTATGAGTTGTTCAAATGGGATAGGAGAGGTATGAAGTCTGGCAGTATCCCTTTCTAACAACTGATACTTGAATAGCTTCGAATAATTGCTGTGGTTATTCACTGAGGAAATCCGGACCAGCTGTTTCCATACAGATCGTGATTAGAAAGCTATTATATGTTGATTTCAGATGACCTCCTTTCTTTTGCAGCCGCTCACCCACATAACCTCGTGATGCCGCCGTTGTAAAGTTCTAATTGGGCCGAAGTGCGAATTCTGAGATTGCGTACGTGGGGTGCGTCTGGAATCTCTTATTCCCTTAGGATCTTCAAAGACTGAACATGATGGGAACCAGTATCACCCTATCTCATTGGAATCTCAGAGCTCATTTAAGCTTTAAATATTTGAACCATCTGAAGTTTTTGTAAGAAGGAATTGAACTCGACCACTTCCATTCATTTAATCTCATTATTAGGACCTTCTCAAAGTGCTAAAACTCTTGATTGTCCAAACTGGATTGGAAAGGGCATGCACCTGTGAATGTTGTGTAATTGAGCCGGATCTGAGTAGGGAGAGAAGGCAAACGATTGTTACGAACAACACGAACAACACTGGTAGCTCGGAACGACGCATTGCCCTGGAATCTGCTGTGTAGGTACGGAGGATGAGCAACAGAATAGTTTGGAGACAGATGGGTTAATCATTTTTAGAATGACCGCCGGTTTTGGGACTAACAGAATCAGAGAAGCTTCACTCGGCTACAGCCTTTAGAATTGTTTCAAAATGTTCAAGCATTAAATGTAGGCGAAACATAGATTGGGATGGAAAGCAGCTGAGAAACTTAGCGAAAGCCTTTAAACATCTCATAGTACAAGCTACGAGCTCCACCCTCACTATTAATGCTGAATATTTGAATCGGATTTTGGTCCATTCTCGGCAAAAGACGTAGAAGATTCAGGGCTTCCTAAGCAGCTCTGTGTAGGTTAATACCTAGGCGTACTCCTTCGTAGACTCCTTTGACTCCGAAAAGTTTGATTTATTATCTCCAAGTGGCTCATGTTGCAATTTTACGAATTCTATCAGAGAGCTTGATTTTCAACTTGGAACATGAAAGCTTTGAAGCAGGTGTTCCTGAGAAGTAAAAAGCGAAAGAATGATTGGAAGGTATGCCAGATTTGTGGAATTCATGCTGTGATGACCAGCTGTTCAAACATGGACAGGAGCGATCTGATGCAAACATGGTCTCTCACACTTTTTATTCAAAAGAGAACCAAAAAAGGAGAGGGCCATTGGTTCAAGGCGCTCCTGTCACCCTTCCGTCTCGAGAAACACCTTCTATAAACCTCCCCGACAAACAAACCCATTTAAGAATGCCAAACACGAAAAGTACGGGGCTCTGAGCACTGATAGATGTTTAGCTCTGTTAAAATGATTCTCCATCAGGAAAAGGGGTATTTCCACAAATAGTCTTAAAAAGCGAGTCTTCATTGTTTTCTAGCAAAATAGATACTTCCCCAGTACGTCCATGGTTTTCCTTTTCAGAACCACAAACCTGATGTCAAGCATCGGTATTGAGAGATGAGGCTTTTTTAGGTGTCGTTTCTGCGCTTGAGCTTACCTTAAATGAGGCACCTGCAGGGGATTAGAAATACCCACTTTCATCATCCCCGTAATAGACCCCTTTTTAGGTACCTCCTATGGGGTGCTACATCAGTGGACGGATCTGAGATCTTTCCTTTTCCAAGCTTTTCTCTTCCCATTCCCCACTATGAATGAGGCGCAAACGTTGTTTTTCATCTGGGCAATCTTGTCAGATGTGTGAACAACTTTAGTAGTTTTCAAATTGTGCTAGCAGAGAATTATTTCCGTAAGATTTCTATCAAGGATCGAGCTTTATTACCTTGCAGTAACTGCTCTAAAATTAAAAATTAAATCGAAAATGAATCAACTAGAAATCAATGTTGAGCGAAGTCAAACAAGTGAGCAGGGTAACGTTTGGAGATTATTGGGAGTTCGTGGAGAAATTATGTCAAATGTCACTCTAATTAAATTGTTGCAAAGCATGCCTGAAAGATGACAAGTGATGATAACAATCACAACATTCATTAGTTGGCATGACGCGATCCCCAGTGAGAGACCGGTGGCCCACTAGTGGAGAGGCTATGCTGTTGTGATCCTGGTGAACTTGGGGCACTTTCACAAAGATGGCGAGATGTGGGCATGACCTTCAGCGTCAGATTCGTACTTATGCTTTCGGAGCACAAGGTAAACAGTCAACATCAAATCGTAGGCAAATTGTAGTACCTTGATAGCCCATCAGTGATGGTTCGGATTTCTTGAACTATGCACAAATCCATTTAGCAGCTATTCCCCATATTTCCATCATTCATTCATCGATCATTTTTCGACTAGGCTGAATTTAAAAGGAGGTATAGAGCCCCAAGGAAGCATAATGACACATTCGACCGGCTAGTTTTGGTTACTCCAATTCTGAAAACAAGGCCGCTGATTTTACTCTCCTAAGCGAGTTTTTTGCACCGAAACTGGGCACTAAGAAAGTGACTTATCTACGATTGGGCTGTCTCTTAGAAGGTTCGCTTTTTCAACTTCTCAACAATCCAAGCAAAGAGAATTTACACAACGCTTGTCCACAATCCGTTTATTTGTACCAGTTGACGAACTGCTTCCCTAACACCTTTACTATTTTGTATAAACAACGAAAACAAAGTATTTGAGGTATACATACATTTGTGCCTAGCACCAGACCTAATGTCATTTCTATCTTGACAAATATGGTTGAGGGAGTTTGCAGGACTGTTGTCCGCAAGCTTTCTGCCAGTTGTCGATAGCGAACTTCCCTACCAAAGCTTCGAACTTCTTGAACGGAATCCAACCGGACTTGCTAGAGATTTTTTCTAGGTCCGGTGTGTACGACGCCTGAAATCAGACGAATACACCGCTGCGGACAGGACATACAGGATTCTTGACCTCACCCTATAAATAATATGCTTATCGATCGGGTCTGGGTCGTGTTCGAGGATGCGGATACTTGGTTCTGGTTTCATTCTGTGATAGCAGAAATTATTGACTGACAGAACCCTACAGTAAATCGAACGGCGTACTTGAATTCAATAACGAAGCCGGCTGATGTTGTCAATTCCTTCTTCTCCACTCCCAGAAGCTTCATGACTGAGAGGGTGACTTCGGTATGCTGCAATGGAGATTCTTCAGACCGCTTAGTTTGAAACGAATGAGCATCCGAGGTGGTGGCTTTTCTCTTCCACCTCTCTTCCTTTTTCTAGGATTCTATGTCCCCGTGCTTTGACTCCATTATGTGGACCCCTCTAAAGCGACGGGTACTCGTCTTGTACCAAAAATTCGGTCCCTGCTAGACACACATGCCCCTTGAGCCTTACCTTTTGAGGGCTGATTCGGGAGTAGGTGCAAACCAACCTCTCTGGTTCCTGCTCACCTCCATTTTAGCTTTTACAGCTTAATTCTAATGATCGTATGCCATAGCAATAAGCTTTCCGACATAGGTGCCCCCTATATGGCCCTCTATTGTGATTATCGAAAGATAATGTGAACTTACTGAAGCATATCCAATGACACTGGGACCTTCACCTTTGATGGCATTGTTGACGGAATCAAGCATATGTTTCAGCCATACACCTCCCATAATGTCTCTACATGGTGCATACTCGGCGCAACGTATTTGATGCTTCTCCCCTAGAATGTTTCCTTGTAACTGTCAATTTAGCACAGGAGTTCACAAACAAACATCTCGATGACATACATACGATGACTTCCTTAAGTCAGCTTTTATTTCTGATTGCCTTTGATAACTGGGAATGTCTCTCAACCTTCATATGAGGTTGCCGCTGAATCCCGAAACACACGAACAAACAAACCACCCACCGAATGCTAGAACAGCCTTTTTGAAGGTGGCGTTGTTATAGCCACGCAGTTTGGGTTCAGATATCCAGGAGGGGTATGGGGCCTTGTAAAAGTCCTAAATGGAGAACTTTTCACGAATAAGGGAATGCTTTGGAGAGTCAAATCACTAACCATTTCAATGATGTTATCGGCTAAATCTGCAGCACTACTAATAGTAGGTGGCCATCCGGTGTTCTTGGCGATATAATTTAGGAGTCCCTTCAATTATCAGGTCTTTACTACGTCTCTTATCATTCTATTGCTATGTAACTGCTCCCAAAAACTCGCACAGTTCCGACTGGTGCAGCTGGGTCATCTCAGCTAACTGATCTTCTGTGCCTGAGCAACCGGTCTCGTGTGGGGTGACTGGCTTAACGCAAAAAACATGTAGAGGAATTCTTACCTTATTGTTGGCAGCAAGCAACTTCAGGTCCGGTAAAGTGTCATCGGATATAGGCTTCCAAGCTAAAAATTGCATATCCACAATTGGTATCCGAAAACAATGTGAAAAAGCACCCAGAATTCAGAGAAGAATCAGGCGAACCCTTGTAGGCATACGCACAATTTGTCTTACGAGCGGATGGAAAGGATTAGAGTATGAGACAGGAAAAATCTTTTTTAAAAGTACAGTTTCCAGCCATGACCAACCAGTTCAACGCCTAGTAGAAATGTAATTTTCTACAACTCATATAGGAGTTAAGCAAATAACAAGCAAATCTCGAGGTTTGATGGATTAGAACTCAATGCCTCTAACACTCGCTAGATTTTTAGATGGGATGTTCCGCAGAAAATTCGGTCTAAAGGGTACAATGTTCAAATGGAGACTTTTTAAGATGAACGGCGTTCTCTAGATGGAAATAGAACTAAATGGAAATGGACACAGGTGTAGCACAGTGCACAGAAGTGGAACTCGCCTCGATCAGACACAGGGCAGTCCTTCACAGCATACATTCTCAGAAGCGGATCATCGATCGTGTAAGGCACAGGACTCCAGAAGTCGAATTGAGATTTCTGCCAGTCTGCCCAATCAGTGGGAGTGTAGAACCCGGCCAGAGCTACCTTAAACCATATAAAATAGTGTTGGTTCCAAGGACAGACACGAAATGCTGTTTGAGTAGGGGGGGTTCCGTTCGGTTCCTCATAGCGAGAGTGTTCTTCTGTACTTACTCAGCAGGTACCTATGAATTAAAACTGAAAGTAAGCCATGCCAGATGCAAAACAGTATATAAGAAGACATTCGAAGCTGCAGAAATCAATGAAAATTACCTGTAGTGTCATCTGACACCTGTTAGCAGAACTCGAGTAGTATTTGGCCTGCTTGGGAAGGTAGTTTCCCTCAACTAGATCACCAACGAATCGACGCAGTTCCCGACCCAATCCGAGTGCTTGACGCTTGCCAATCTGGAAACTTCGCTGTGTATATAAAGTGAAGGTTAGCAGCATTGTCACTTACGGAGGTGAGCTCAGTGTCTCCCTCGAATCCCCATCGTGCTGGATTCATCTTAAGGATTTGTTCCGGATTCCGATTTCCGTGCCGTGTACCCCACAGTACCAATTTTGTATGCGGATCTGATGACAAGAATGGTTAGACTGTTAAACGAAGACCTCCCGGAAAGGGCTCACTCGGTCACCTTTTCTTACTCGGTCACCTTTTCTTACTCGCATAACTGACCATAAGAAAGATCCACTCTTTTCACGCCGCCAACCTCGAACTGTCAGTACCATTCACAACGTGCTCTCATGTTGATGTAGAACGGACAACAAGTTGTAAAATTGAAAATCGCGCACCTCTACTGACCGGTTGGCGATCTTTTGTCATCCCACTGCAAAGCACCATGTAGATCCATAGTACTGCGAGCTCTGAATGAAATTCAAGACTGTTTCTTCGAGCACAATCAACAAAATCTTTTCAACTCACTTCAACAAACAAAGTAAAAAATATTTGCTCACACAATAGACCCCATGCAGAATCGTAGAAACATTCGAATGCGGCCTATACAACGGGCGCTGGTAGCAACTAGCAGATATCGGTGTTTTTATTTTCCCACACGAGTTTGGTGTTATACAATTTCCCCTAAAGACCCCTCTTCTCCGTCGGATTTAGCCTGTTAGGCGAGCCTTAACGTAATCTGGGAAATCGGGCTCTGTTTTGATGTTATGCTCAGGAATAGATTGGCATTGTCAGAGTTGGTTAACTAACCACTACACTCGTTGAGGTTGTATAGAT